ACATCCATTCTGAATGTATAGTACATACATGGAATATCGAGGGAATATCCTATTGAACATCTTTGCATATTACAGGAATATTCATGGTATATATACACTTGTCAGTATGCAAAGCATGTCTGATGCATATACATGAATATACGCAAGACATCCAAAACGTATATACTATGTATCATTTGGTTGCATATTTCAAACCACTATATATAAATGTCCATTTTATAATGTCCCTATTTAAAACTCTTGTAAAACAAAGCAAACTCAATTTTTTGCAAAACTTTCGTAAACGACAATAATTTTCTTTAATGACGACAGCAAATTATTTCCAAGCATCTGATTCCGCTAAAAGCTTAAATTATTTGCCATGTGCAAACGGCAAACGTTTACTAAACCCACCCACAAGGACTGTTTCAGGTAGCTCATTTTAAAAACAGGTAAACACTCTAGGGCACGTTCTGGCCTTCCGCCACCACGAAAAATCTTGATAATTGGCATAAATTTTATTCAATTTCAGAAATTCAGAGCTTTACCGTCTCGCAAATTCCTAAGAAACTGAATTAACGAATTTTCAGTTAACACGCTGATGTATTTTTGGGTTAAACGAAATAGAAAAAAATTAACCTTAGTAAGCGGTAAGTGCATCGGTCTAAACATTTTGGGGGGGAAAGCTGGACTTTATTGAAATGTCTCAGGTTAGGTGTCCCGAATAACGTACTAAAAGTCCAGACCCCCAACTGCGCCGCTCGTCGAGCTGTGGCACGAAATCACCGAAATCAGTTTTTCGTTAATATCTCGAAATGTAGCAGGCTTAGAGAAAAACTTTTGAAACAAAAAATGTTCCTCGTAAAATTTCCTACACGAAAGCTTATTTGCAAGTTAGCCCAGGCCTAACCGTTAGCCTACAGCGTTCTTTTGAGTAGTCTAATATTGAGTTCTTTGATGATTTTTTGTACTTATGGTTGTTATTGATGAAAAACATACTTCTCACTTATTGTACCATAGGATAGCCGATTTGAACGTTAGTTTAAGAAATTTCATTAAGATTCTGGAAGCATACGTATTTTCTTATGTACAGTTCAAAATTATAATCACTTAATTCTATATACATTTCATCGTTCGACTCAACAGCAATGTCATCATCCGAATGCAGAGTAGTTTCGACATCGGAGTCCATACTGTCGTCGAAGTGTGACTCTTCCTCAGCTTGTACCTCAGCATTGAGGCATGAAAGACCCATACACCCGGAGCGTAAATTGGAACATTTCAGTCCTGTAGCACAGAGAAGAAAGAGAAATGAGTACGTATCTCTGAATTTCAGAACCTCGAAGAGAACTGAACAGAAATCGGTGCTTAGTCTTCTATCAGGACGCACCTGCTTTTCTGTACGAACATGCAGATAAGCATCCTTTTTGACAAGCGCATGAAATTAAATTCAGCAACTCGTCAGGAGTAGTTAGGCGCAGCGGTCATCGGTGTAGGCAGAAGTTCTGCACTGTGTATGTGCCAACCCCATCCGATCGGAGAGAAATTGTTTCCTCTCCATTTTTGCACCTGATGACAGCATCGGTAGGCGTGGAGACTGAGTGCAGCGTTTTTTTTTTTCGACCGCCTTATGGAACGAACCGATGACGATCGAAATGTCTGCTTGCCTGACACAATATTTGACTCCGCTGACGTAGCTAAAGTAATTCGTGTTGAAATAGTGTATACTGCGGGTAGACTGGCGAAAAACTCGATATTAGACTACTCAAAAGAACGCTGTAGGCTAACGGTTAGGTCTAGGCTAACTTGCAAATAAGCTATCGTGTAGGAAATTCTACGAGGAACATTTTTTGTTTCAAAAGTTTTTCTCTAAGCCTGCTACATTTCGAAAAACTGATTTCGGTGGGCAAAAACGTGCCACAGCACGACGAGCGGCGCAGTTGGGGATCTGGACTTTTAGTACGTTATTCGGGACACCTAACCTGAGACATTTCAACAAAGTCCAGCTTTCCCTCCCAAAATGTTCAGATTGACGTTTTTTGTGTACTTATCGCCTGTGCTAATTAAGCTAACTAGTAGAAAAAAATTAAATGTGAATGAACACCTGTAAGCAAACTGGTAAGCCCTGAAGCAAAGAAATAACATTATTCTAATACAATTCGGGACATGGAAAGTTTTACGGCAGTATTAAAGCAAACATCACAGAAATGGCAGTTGTCAAGCAATCGAGTATTATTTTCAACAAACCAGCATTAAGCATTTATTTCATAATCTGTACACTTGAACCGAGGGCACTGACTTAACTGCGTTATTCGATCAAACTAGGTGACTGGGTCGAATTGGGTCCCCGGGTGAAATTGGGTCCCCGGGTGAAATTGGGTCACTGGGTCAAACTGGGTCAAGTTGGGTCACTGTGTCAAACTGGGTCACTGGGTCTAACTGAAAAGAGTATGACGTGACCCAGTGACCCAGTTTAATTTAGTGACCCAGTTGACCCAGTGACCCAGTCCAACTCTGTATAGCAGACGCGTTATCCCTTCGGAAAACTCTGTAGCGCATTTTTGTACAACTTTGCTTTTCAAAAAATGTGAGAACACAATATAAACCTACAAATAGGTAACCTAATGTTCAATTCTGCTGAATTGGAATTAGCGGGACATTGCCTGATAGGCGGTACGAACTTCGCTAGTAACATGGTGGCTAGTAATAAATGAACCTCTCTACATGGTGTTAATTAATTTCATGCAGATTGCAGATATTTAAGGGAATGATACTCGTCAAAATAAGAAAAAAACGCAAATATATGCTTGGCCTAAAAGTCGTCGTTTTCGTTATAGCGGGTGACAAAGAAAATGCAACACCCTATTGCGACCAACAATTTCGATACCTACTTTATTGTAGAGATTCTAAAAAATAATTGATCTATCAAATTTGAAACAATTTTCCCAGAACATAAGAGAGAAAACGCAAAACACGAGAACAAAATTAAAACTTTGCCACCCTGTATAACAAAAATGGAGTCTTTTAGACCACGCACATATCTGCATTTTTTCTTATTTTGACGAGTGCTACCACCTTTGAAATATCTGCATGACATAAATTAACAACCTGTATTTTTAGCGCATTTTCCAACTCATGTTGGAAGGCGCTATTATGGCCACTTTCTCCGCCCGTCTGTCCGTCAGAGGCCTTAACTACTTCTACAGTTTTCAAGATTCGGTAGCTAATAACTCTGGCATCTCAACCAAGAAAAATCTTGACGATTAATGTGCTCATGCGCGATGTCAATTTTCTTATTTATGGAGATATTTCTTTAAAATTTTAACCACACATGCTTCTAGTAAAAACAAGCATATCGCATATTGTAAAAATCAGATGTGCGCATGCGCAAACTACGCAATGTCAACTTTCTTATTTATAGATATTTTCTTAAATTCTTCTAGTAAAGGCAAACATATCGCATACTTTAAACATCAGGGGTATGCATGCGCAGACTACGCACTCTTAAGTTTCTTATTTTTAAGAATATTTATGCCATAACTTATTTTCCTGTGTACACACAAACTGTCCGTTGTGTGACCTGCCCGGTGTACTGATGAATTCATGAAAAATGCGCCTTAAGGCGAAAACTTTTCATTTTTAAAAACATGCTTGCGAAAAGTTCCCATTATTCAAGCTTTAGCGAGGCGGGCAGAGGCGCAAATTTGAGTGCTTGCTGCTTGCTCACACGTAACTTTTGCCTTGAGCCGGCCCTGGCTTTTACACCTGTTGAAAGTGATGACGTTGGGTTTGTCGCAAATTGATTGAACACCCTAATTTCGCACAGTTCATCCACAACTCCCATGAGACTTGAGAGTCATATGCCCAGTATTCAGTTTTTTTCATCCTCTGCATCCTAGTTGTAAATTATTTCTTAGTTTCTAACTACGCATAATTTTAACGTGAGAGTAGCTGGGGTTGCGGGGGTTAATCTTCAAATGAAGATAAGCCTTCCATTAAACTTACCCCTAGCTATCTAAATAGGTACATGCACGGATTTTAAGGAAAAGAAGTCAAAGTCCATATTTTAACACAAATTTCGCCAAAATCTTTTTAGCCCTTTGGTCAACTATGTGCATCAGAGGAAAAACGTGTGTATAAACTAATTGCCTAAAAGAATGTACATTTGTACTTAGAACAATGATCGATTTTTTGGATAGTACAGTGTATGTTTACACTATGCGACTAGGGTATACGAGTAAGTACATAAGTACATCTATTTTTATGAAAGTGACTTTTCACGGAAAAAAACATTATTTATCACTTGTCCTAGGAAATTTCCAGCGGTTTGTTAAGAATGAGGCTAATGTCATATATTTAAGTAATTCAAACCAAATGAAGTACCTACTTCTATTCTAATTCCACACAAGCTCACGTTGTCAACCCTCATAAGGTTTTACAATACAGTGTATACCGTATATACGCCCTGTTTTATGTAGTCACTCTTAGTCTTAAACATATTGGTCTATAGTAGCAATAGCGCATTTTGATATTCCCTCTCCTTATGATGGAGGTCAGCATATAAATAGATTTAAGGTTTATGAGTCTTTATTTAATTGCAACCTATAATGACCATGAGGTTAAACTTATGGGAATGCAACACACACACAGAAAATTATTTATGTAAACTATTTAAAGAAAATGTATCCAACAAATAATTGAGAAAGAGGAAGCTCAAAGAACTTTATTCATTTTATACCTACCTTAATACGGCTCGCGTTTATTTTGATTAGATGCTTTTATTTAGGCAGTTTATTTGGGTAATGGTGAATTACTCAACGCCATTAATTAACTGTAATATTTTCTTTCCGCTAATCTCCTATAAAAAATACATACAGTTCAAAATAATCAAAATATGTTCATAGCCATGGGAACGAATTAATCCCTCTAATTTCACGTAAATCAGTTTCTATCTGAACAATTGTCCACTAAGTTTGTTTATGGTATATTGGTTAGCTCTAAATTGATAACTGTTTTTAATTGCAGGTGTCTGCTGGTCAACATTTACAGTTAAGTGGTGATATTAAGGGAAATGTTTCCATTGCAACCCAACAAGGAATGTATTTCAACCAGTCTGCACCCAACGCACAGCAAGCTTCTGCCGGTCAACCTCAAAATTCAAGTAGCAACGGTCAGCAAAACCAACAGACAGGTTCAGGTTTGCAAAGTCAGACGAATCAGCAAAGTCAAAATGTACAGCAACCAGGTGTTCATTTATCAAGTAGTCAATTATCTAATGCACAAAATCCTAATCAAGGACCATATGGTAATCTACCAGATTTACATGGATCAACTATGTCTGCTAATGGACCAGGTGTTGGTATGATGGGTGCAGGTGGTATGGGAGGGTCAGGAGTTATACCGCTTTCGTCAGGCCACAATGTTGGTATGGGTGGAAATCAACATCAAAGCGCAATGGGTGATATGTATTCTATGACACAAACTCAAACTATAAATTTTACACAGCAGTCATTAAGGCAGAGGGTCAATGGGCCAAATGGTAAGTATAAGTGATTTTGGTTTTTATTCCGCGTATTTAAAAAATATTCATTTTACAAGATTAATGCCATTCTGTATTGATAGAAATAACATTAACAAGAACAGTTAAGCCCATCACACAATGAAAAAAATAAGGAATAAGAAATATGAAGTAACAAATAAGGAATAAGAAATAAAGGAATAACAATTTTCAATCTACTGATCTTTATGGATTTGCACACAACACTGAAATATGAAATAAGCATAGGAAATAAGAAATAATAATTTTGCTCAGTCGAATTTTTATTTCTTATTTCATATTGCGAACCAATGACATTAGAAGAGGCACGCACGCGTTATCTATTTTCATTATTTTACCTTGTTAACCCAAAATAAAACAAGTATGAGGTGTTGTTTTTGTGAAGTTATGAACTTGGAAGGAATTATATTTGATGTCGGTGCAATTAGCCTGCTATTGCCTTACATTTAGCTGCCATTATAATGATGTAATTCAAACGGCATGAGTGTTATCTGATTGGCTTATACTTAGTCTGTTTCTGTTACTACTTGTTTGTTGTGTTTTGCGTATACGGCGTCACTATTTCTTATTGCATATTTCATATTTCTTATTCCTTATTTTTTTCATTGTGTGATGGGCTTTAAAGATGTTGAGATTATCGCCATAAGAGCCACATCTTAATGTTATAGTACAGGGTTATTACAATAATGATGTTTCTGATTTTAATTGAAAAGATTACTGCGTTAATTTGATTGGTACCACTGTACACTTGAAGTCATGAACATCAACACATTTTTTTAAAATGAATGTAGTTATTCTTTACAACTTTTAAATAACCTAACACATATTGTTGGAAAAAAGGGGTTTGAAGCTGAATTCTAAATGTTGCTGGACAAGATGTTATAGAACGTGCCTTCTATAGTGGGATCGGATAGCGTTAAAAATCATAAAAAATATTTCAATGCTGGCGGCGATTGTGAACTTTTGGATTTGACTGTAAATGCCAAACATAAAAAAAACGCCCCAGACCCCAAAATTTCGGACTCCCCAACCCAGTAATGACGTCGTCTAGTGAGAAACCAAGAAATTGATTTTTAGCATATAGACATCCAATGAAACGCCATAAATTGTATTAAAAACCAGGATTAAAACAATATACAGTGAATTTTTTTAAATGCGAACATAGGAGTTTGCATGCAATGTAATTTCCCTATGTTCGATTTAAAAAAAACACATCAACCTATTGAGTAGTTCAAATGAGTAGTAGATACAATTGACAGCTGTCACATTTTTTAAAATACCGCCGTCCAATTTAATTACGAAATCGGTTAGATTATTGCTTAGAATGTCAAGGAGGCCACTTCGAACATTTATTGTAATTGTTCTCGTTATTTACTTTCTTAATTCCTTCATTTATGTATTGAATAGATCAAATTAGTAGAATACCAGGTGCACATGACCTACAAATAATTGAAGGTGGTTAACAATGAGTTGTTATGTCAGTGAGTGGCCTGTGAGGTCAAGTTATCGCACAGAGTTGTATATAAGTAAATAGAGAGACAGTCTTGTAGCGAAAAATTGACTCCAATTGAACCTTGCGCAGGCCGTTGGTGAGTGTGCGCAGTAGTCGACAACAGAACCGGCTTCAAATTAAATGATCCTTAAAGCAGGTTCGGCTTGAGAATAATATGGTTTCTCATTGTAACAAAAATTGAAAAGAAATTCAATGTGTGGTGAATGATGTTGTTAACACTGTGTCTTGAATAAATAAGAAACATTACAATCGTTAAGAACTTTTAATACAGTAGACTACAATCCAAAGCTGGTAAGGGGCTTTCAACATCAGAATCGTGAAAAGATTTTTTGAGATTCTGGTATAAAGGAATACGTATATTTGTCGTGCGATCGAGTTTAAAGATCTATTTATGCACTCAGTGAGTATAAAAATAAGCAATGAAAGAATAAAATAAGTTGAAATTTTATTTTGGTGCGGGACAAAATTTTAGTGTGCAATGCCGAAAACACAGTTTGAATACGGGTAGCCACAAAGTCGACAAACTTCAAATGCCAATAACTCAAATATGTCAAAAATGGAGCATCGGCAGAGGGTATGTACAGTGGCACCACGCTCAGAAGGTCCCTGACAGGGCGTGTCCGAGGACGTTGGAAATTTAGACTGTACATTCTCATGCAAAATTTGACTCTACTAAATATAAATAAGTGGGCCACGCGATATGAGTTGCATTACTTCAAGGGGAAACAGTAAAATTAATAATTTTATTTCTACAAAACGTAAACACATTTAAGATTGTTAGATGTTTATGTTCAACACAATTTACAATTCTGATGCACTTCTGCTGTGTAAATATGGACAGTTATTGAAACAATCACATTGAAATTAATAACACTCACACTGACTAAATTAACACACAACCTTTAACTTTTTTCATTCATTATCGTCACTTGACCACTAATCATCATCGGAACTGCTGGTGTTCACAATAAATTGTACATTGTCAATAAATTCATTTCTCGTAGGAATGATATTTGCTCCTAACCAAGAACGTATCACTTCCTTACGATTATTCATTGTTGGTGGCTTATTTATTTGAACACTGATAAGGTGCGTGAGTTTGCTGGTAAATTTGGTATAAGCTGCTTCTCTAACCACTGCATAAAGTTGGTATGATTCATATCATCGTAATAATCCCCCAATTTACTGTGCGACATCCTCTACAAAACTAGAAGGACTACCAGCATACTACGATGTACATCTGACCAGCCCTATTATAAACTTCCGATACTTCATCTGATTGTTAGCATTTACTCACTCCGTACGATGGGTGAATATAGGTTTCGTCCAAGTATATAACGGGTTTCTTGTCACATTCAGGTTGTTCATTTTCTTTTAATCTTCTTAAATAACGAGATGCCATTACCAACCTACGTTTGTCCCGACACTTCTTGTATCGAAAACCAAGTTTCAGCAATTGCTTGCAAAGAGTTTTCCTTCCACCCATATATTTGATCTTTTCTTGCACTTTTCTAGGAGCATTTTAAAATAACCTTTATTTATGTACAGATCGTCGCCTACTAAACATTGAAATGGCGGTGAAGAGTATAATGTAATGGGCATGCTTAAATTATTGCTCCAAAGTGTTTGTTTATTTACAAATGAATCTGAAGCATCTGAAAAGTTATTGCTGTTTTGTTTTGTGATTATGTAACTGAATGCACCCAAAAATCGTGCTGATTCCCTTTCACGCACTGCGCATGAGTCCCAACGGCTCCGCCATTAAAAGTCGGCCACTGTAGTTGGAGTTATTTTTCCACGCGCAGGTCGTATGTACTGCCTCTCTATTTACTTATATACAACTCTGTGAGTTATCGTAAGTTTAAGAAAAATGTATCCTAAAGTTGCTATGACCTCACATGGCTTCTTTAAAAAAATCTTACCGAGTGCTCTTCATCATAAAGACTATGAGTTGTTATTCATAGTCACACAAGTTGCGCGATTTGGGAATGTGAACCGCGCACATCTCATAGATTGATGTGTTTTTTTTAAAATCGAACATAGGGAAATTACATTGCATGCAAAGTCCTATGTTCGCATTAAAAAAAAACTCACTGTATACGTGGTGTACAGTTACTAATACATGATTTCTGCAAATTTGTTTTAAAATTTGACGTTTCATCCGCATATTCGTGTCTACTTTGAAAATAATTTCCTTGTAAAAAATTACTGGTAAGTTTTGTTGAGATGGATCTGTAAAGAGAGACACCAGAGTTTACTATAACTACGAGCAGTCGTCGGCGATTGCTGGCTTCACAAAAGTCGCCGGTTACTTTCTGTAGTGTTATATGTGTGCGGGTATTTGTCAAATAACACCTATATAATTATTAGTTATGTTTATACGTAAATTATTCTCTGAAAGTTCATCATTTTGGCATTGTTAAGTCCGGAATCATATCCTTTTGTGAAATATGATTTAATTTATGAATCCATCCATACTGGTATCCTATCCCAATCCTGCACCAGGAGAAGGGCAGTGCCGAAATAGAAGAGTAGTGCAGCGCGCGCGCTAGAACAGAAAAGTTGCCCCTTTTCTAATACGCAAACAGGTATAATTCGAAGTTGTAATCTTTCATAAACGCAGCATCATAATTACAATTAAAATGAGAAAATTGAATAAATATAAAAAATAAATAACTATATGCTTGGGCGCTAGGATTAGGATGCAGACAGGACGCGGACATTGGACCGCAAGACAGTAGACCGCAAAGGGAATAGACATTAAGACGCAGACATTGGGACGCGGACATTGGGACGCAGAAATTAGGACAAAGACAACTTGTACAAGTTGCTAAAACCGAGTGCTTGCACCATTAAATAAAATTCCCTGAAAATTGCTTTCTATTTACTCATCTCGCATTGGCACTTATTGATCCAGTACTCTGCTGAGTACTACAACAGCAACGTCCTTCACATGCGCATAGTTGCGGACCTCAAAGTACGTTTCTGACGCACTTGCACACAGTACATCTCCGCTTCATGCCATGAGGATGTTATAGCTGATAAATGTACCTCTGCTGAAGATGATATTGCTCTTTCTTCAAGCTTAGACACTGTTGTGTTTCCTTGAAAATGCTTGCTTATTAACTGTTCTGTCAAGAAAGTAGACAGCGTTTTTTTGTTTTCATCTACTCGTAAAGAATCTTTATATTTCTGTGAAATTATTGTGGAAGGTGTAATTCGTATGTGCACGTCTGCTCCTATTTGTACCGCTATCCGATCCCACTATTTTGCTTGTGCTGGTAGGTGTAGCGTTATCATCGGCACAAAGAACATATCGACTTTAATTTGAGTTTTATTGATTTTAATGGACTTGTAAAATGAAAGTCTAGATTTGAGTCTATGTTATTTAAATGTAACGAATTTTTCTTTAAATATAACAGTACCTTCTGAGTAGGAAGGATTCAATGTGTTGGGATTTTGGGTTTGGTTTTTACTTTAGAATCTGGCCTTTTGCCTTGTGAGCCAAAACACTGTTTTATAAGAATGTTAAAATTTATTTACTACCTAGGCAAAATGACGTTTTTGACAGATAACCTGCACGTTAAGTTTAACGTTAGTGATACGTCACAGGGCTGATTATCTGGTGGGTAGTGATGGAACTTTTCTCTTCTTTGGATCAAAAGTATTATTATAAATTAAATACCTAAACGCTGTCACCTGTACTTATAACTAATCAAGGTTTCGCTCAAATGGCTAATGAGTAATAACTTGCGCTATAATGCATATAAGTATTAATTCACCTTTTGTTTTTTTTTAAGATTTTAAGAATTCAAGGAGATGTATTGTAATATGTATATCCTCTGCGTCACTCACTTTATTTAAATTTAATTATGGTGCAATACTGATGCACGTGCAATGTAGAAAAAATGTGGCACACACGTTTGTCGCGCTGTACCACTACTTTTATCTTCTGTGATTAAAAATTCCTACTAATTCTGCTTAATATCTTCAAAGGAATTCCGTCGTCAATGGGGCCAAACGCCGCACAAATTGCTTCAAATGGATTAATGACTGGCAATGTACCAATGGGAGCTGGAGGGCAAATGGGAAATACTATGGGACCAAGGCATATGACACAACAAACTTTAGAACAACAAAAATTATTGCAACAGCAACAACAGCAGCAAATGCTTAGAGCACAACAAGCACTAATGCAACAACAAATGGTTCGACCGCCACCTCCGGATTATAAAACCAGTGCAGGAATGATGCAAGGCATGCAGCCACGTTACCAAACTGGGCCGCCCACCTCTAGACGAATGCCTCAACCAATGCCACCTTCAGGTATTTTAAATCTTGCATATCCATTCAACCGGTTGAGCCCGTGCTGTTTCGCAGGAAGTATATCTAATCTTAGGAGAGCTGGAAAACATTTTAGGGTAGGTTTTTGAGGCACGCTGGTAACTTGTCCAATACTTCTCCAATAATATCCAAACACAGAATTACAGACCTGGCTGAGTAGTAGTGGTGCTAACACTTCGCCAGGCGTCTTCAAAGTTTGAAAAAAATAATGTACGCTTGAAATCAGGAGTTAGGATTGCCACATGGCCGAGATTGTCCGGGCTGCATTGTCCCGGATCCCGGTTTTTCATATATAATGCCCGGAAAAAATATCGCAACGCCTTGAATAAAAATTCAAAATTTACACTTGCCCAAACCCAAATAGTAGCGACACTGCACAAACCAAAAGAAATAGCCACAAACCTGGATCGCGGGATCGTGACGTTAACATGCACGTTATAGTGAACCAATTCAAGCAATCGCGCTACGCTCCCCAGTTTTTTTTTTAATATGTTGGTTTTTGTTCCAATCCTAGACCATATAGTAGGTACATGGACTGCTATTATCCCTATGCTTTCAATACAAAATGGGTGGTCACAGATAGAGGGCACTGTAGTCGTGGGTATGTGAATCTCAGGGTAAACTAAAGTCGTATGAACACTCGGATCGCGTAAAAGGTAGCTTTTATGGTAACCGCGTAGTACGGGAAGCTTTATCTTCTATACGTCCACAAATAAGAATAGGTTTGTTTTTTTGGCATATCTAGATGGTTAATTAATTGAAATTTGTTAATTTATAGTTGACAGTCTCAAATCGTGTCTAATCGGACAGACTCGTTTACCCTGAAACTCACATACCCAGGCGATGTCCTTGACCATATTTTAGTTACAATTATCAGTCCATGTACTATATGGTCTAAGGTTCCAATGCTTTAGTTAAATTTGATTGATACATATTAACATTCTTTTTTTTTTTATTAAAATATTTTTCCTGTTACGCTATTTTGTGCGTTAAAAAAATATAATGGGATTACATTGAAAAAAATTAAATATAATAACAATTAAAAAATCTAGCAACAAAAAACAACAATTTTTTAGACAATTACAAAGGATGTATCTATCCAATAAATTTTTGAACATGGTATATTTTTACCCGGTTATAGTTTTGGTTGACTACGGCGGGATGGTGTCCCCGGAATTCAACGCGATCAATGTGGCAACCCTATCAGGAGTCTGTGGCCCTGCATCATTCGTTTGTGAATCAATTTCAAACATATGCAGACATACGCTAAAACCAAGGATGCTATATAATATAAGGATTGCTCGATCCCTGTACTTGTAATGTTGCCCGCGGTTAAGTCATATGTGACGTCACTAACGGACCTGGCTATCAGAATTGACAGTTATAATTTGCTAGGTTGTCAACGTTTTTGCATTAGCGTTATAACTGTGTGTATAAGTGTTCGCTATATTGCAACAACAATGTTTGGACGCCGACTAGTATTGGACTGTAATGCCAATTTGGGGTAGTATTCACATTTTACACTCAACTGGCGCTCATTTTAGCCATGTGCCAAAAAGAACGTCGAGAAATCGTTATTTTAAGATGGACAAAGTTTAAATAAACTGATTTAGCTGCAATTTCCATTGACGATGAAGAGCCAAAAAACCAAAAACGACATTTTGAGTAACCGAAGGAGAATTTATAGACTTGTAGACAAGTGTTTCTAATTTAAATACCTACCACATACCTATAACATCCATTTGGACGTATTAGAGAGCCCCTTCGTACCAGGCGTTTTTTGAAGCGGCTGGTAGTGTGACCCCTTCACACGGGACGATTTGCAGCGCCACAAGTAGCACGAAGCGATTTTCAGAAGCTCCTTCACGCAACAAAAGCGCACGTACCAAGAAAGGGCGTTTTATTAAAAAATGGTGTCTGGTTTGAGGAGAGTTGATTTACTTGTGTATCATTTACCTTAGTAAAGAGCGTACATGTTTGTGTACTGATATTTTGTATATAAAGCTAAGTTTAAGTTTAAGATTGTTTTTATTGATATGTGCGGGTTGTAGTTCGACCGAGGAAGGCGAAGCCGTATTAGGCTAAACACTTCATATTGTGTGGTAAAACCATTGTAGCACGGTGGGGCAAACTCCAAAATTATAACAGAAATTGTACAGAAGAGACTTGTAATAAATTTCAGTTCTTACTCATCTGATAAATAAAGCTAATTTCTTATCGGGAGGAATGGATTTCTGCATAACCGTATCTTTTTTCGAAGAAAATTTCCACTCTGCAGCGTTTCAAAAACGCATCGTGAGAAGTAGCTCTTAGAATTTTACAGAATATAAAATACAAATGAAAGTGGTGCACAAAACAAAAAATCAAAGCATGCGGTGCGCCTGGGTCCGCCAGTGACGTCACTACACGCGGTGAAAAAATTCAGTGATCGAGCAATCTTGTATTATATTAGACCGGGAGGCAGCGTACATAGTAACTAAACCATAAGCGACAAAAAATTCGACAATACAGGCTGAAAGTACGTTGAAAACTAATAATAAAATCACTCGTCTGCCAGTCGTAAGTGGCAGCATTAACTTGGGGCGGCGCTGAATAAGTGACTTCTTTAGGTGATCAACTAAATTACCAAACTATAAGGGTCACGGAAAAGATTTGTATCAAGAAATCCCATTTTTTCCATAGTTTTCAAATATGCTATGGCAGACGATTTCAAGTGCAGCGTTGGTAGCGAAAGACGCCCTCCAATGTAGGGAAAAACACCCCTGAACTAAACCATGAGGACCGTATAAAAATTATACATAAAAAATTCCTCTTTTTGTCACTACTTTAAAAATATATCCTGGCAGACGATATTAAGTGTAGCTTTAATAGTGGCAGACGTCTTAGAAGTTAAAAAATTTAGGTATAGTAAATCCCAGCGAGTGCGAGCGTGTGAGAGATAAGCGCGCGAGAGCATAACCAACAGAGATAGCGATAGGATACTGACTACTGAGATCTTTCAAACCATTTGATTCTAAACTTCTGATTCACATAGTTCCATCCACTTCAATCAAACGGATTGTAGAAACTCAGACATTTTTCGGTGACATTCGCCCAAATTGCGATGAACTAAACCATGAGGACCATACACAAGTCATACATCCGGTAAATGCGTGGGAACCCGGTAACACGTTACCCTGCGGCCTGCGCGTTACACACATCAACACCCAAATTCACGAACATCTCTCGAAGATTTATGAATTTCTATAAGACACTTACTTCCATCTATAGCTTGATGGTAGCGTCAATTTTACATTTCCCAAAGCAATAACAGCAATATCCATATCGGAAGCGCTTTTGCTACTTGTTGGTAGTTTACCAAGATGGTAAATTATTCGAGAATCTGCCTCTTAGTGGCTGCAGCACAATTCAGTTTTTACCATATCATCTTCCCTTGTCACAAATTTATAGCACTTATCTTCATATGTGGCAAACACAACTTTCCTTCCAAGTAAAGCGCAACACGTCTTTTTTGCCTATGAACGGTATAAGTAATCTATAAGAGAGGCTTTGAGCTATCATGGCGAAGTGGTTTTATGAAATTTGCAGGCTGCTTCTGAGTGGAAACAGAAATTGAGTAGGATTGTAATCTTTCCTTATTTTGATCCCAACGATCATGTTCTGCGTCTTTCATCATGGAAGGAGTAACTATCTGTCAAAAGTAAGATGTACTTCTCTCACTGACACAGCGCAAATCTTGCCGAGGAGGTGTTCAGAAAATCGCTCAAAGGTTTACCGGAGATCTTTTAAAAGGTACAAAAAAAATAATCCATCGATTAAAACAACATCTACAACTGGCGATGGACTAGGAGCACTTGAAGAAATCATACTTCCGAAAAAGTTTCGGCAAAACAAACTTGTCGATTTTAATCATCGAGCCATCAATGTTGTATAGAGACAACGGAACTGGTGTCAAAGGATAGTTTAGAACGAGCTGAAGATCTATCTTCTTTTTTCTTCAAGTTCTGTGTTTCTCAGTCTGAGATAAACAATTTATTATTTTCCCTAATTTAATTCGTTTGGTAATTCCAAGCGGTGCGTAAATCTATAGCTATCTCTGTTCGTTATACTCTCGCGCGCTTATCTCTCACACGCTCGTACTCACTGGGATTTACTATACCTAAATTTTTTAACTTCTAAGACGTCTACCACTATTAAAGCTACATTTAATATCGTCTGCCAGGATATATTTTAAAGTAGTGACAAACAGAGGAATTTTTTATGTATAATTTTTATACGGTCCTCATGGTTTAGTTCACGGGTGTTTTTCCCTACATTGGAGGGCGTTTTCGCTACCAACGCTGCACTTGAAATCGTCGGCCATAGCATATTTGATAACTATGGAAAAAATGGGATTTCTTGATACAAATCTTTTCCGTGACCCTTATAGTTTGGTAATTTAGTTGATCACCTAAAGAAGTCACCTATTCAGCGCCGCCCCAGGTTAATGCTGCCACTTACGACTGGCAAACGAGTGATTTTATTATTAGTTACTATGTACGCTGCCTCCCGGTCTAATAGCATCCTTGCGCTAAAACACTGTAACAACTATCAAGTGTGCGAAATCGATAAACAAACTTGTCTGAAATTGATTCGCAAATCAATGACGCAGGACCAAAGACTCCAGATTTAAAGTGTATACATGGCCGTAATAAATACATGAAACCCAGTGTGCTTTGATCACTTTTGATGAAAATTTGTCTTTAGCCGCTTTCTTTCGGCTACTTCGCGATCATGATTTCAAAATCGGGATTCGTAGGATCACTTTTTACGAAAGAACGCGCGAATTTAGATCAAATGGAGTACACATTTGCATTCGAATTAGGTATTTTTTGGTTGAATTATGAAAATAATTTAAATACAAGTAGAAGTACTTGCACGGTTATGCTCCTCTACAGTTACAAATATTGACTAACCTAACATTTGACCAAAAAGATCCTTACATTTATAGGCGTTTTTGTTTTACCCTAACTGCATCACGTTTAGAGTTTGCAAGTTTTATTGCGGGCAATAAATATTGCAACAAATAGCAAGTCTTAACAAGGTTTACAGTCTGCAATTTTCATTGCATAGTACCAACCCTATAACTTTAAATAAGTGTGGACAAAATATCTTCGATTTGTCATTTGCATTTAACTTGTTCTTCACTTATCTCTTTATCATGCATTTCAATCAAGATGAACAACAGAAATTGTCAACACATTCATCACACTTCACATCGTTGGTGCCATAGTAATTCTGGATGTTGGCATTAAAAATTCCCCCAAAATAGTCACCAGAATTGCAATTGCAATGCAATAAAAATCGCTCCGGATCTACTTCTGGCAACGCAATAAAAATTGCAACAGCTGATCGAAAAGTACACTTGCGCGCATGCGTGTAATAAATATATCCGCAATTTTTATTGCCCGCAATAAAACTGGTAAACTCTAAAGGCCGCTTGACATGGAGCAATACAAAGCGCAAGAACTTGCAGAAAGAAATTGCAAGGTCAAATCCTTGCGTGCAATACGCATTGCATGGTATTTGACATGGTGCAATTCTATTTCAATTGCCACATTTCTGCCAACAGAAGAAAAATATGGACTTGTCAACAAAGTTGCTAACCTCAAATAAAAATTAAATTTTGATTGCTTGAAGAAACATGAAAATTACAAGAATAAATAAGATTAATAAAAAGAAGTAATGAGTGCGTCTCTCAGCATCATAGTTGCCGCCGCTGTATTTTACTAGGTTGGTGACACAAAAACAACTAGATTTATCACTAGAATTGCGCGATTCATTCAAGAAAAATAGCACCGGTCCAATAAAAATTGCATGCAAGTCTCTTGCAACAATTGATCAGCTGGCTTTGAACTGTGCATGCCTTTCGCAATTTTTCCAGCAACTTGCATGCAATTGCGCGTTCGTTTTAAACTGATTGCATCAATAAAACGGGTAAAACGAAAGCCTTGTATAGGTTAGGAATTCGTGATCAGTAAATAAATCATAAAACTTATGTTCAGTTTGTTCACGCTTTTAGTAATCATGATCATAAGATCACACTTCGAAAGAACGTGATTTGACAATCCAAACGCGTTTGGATCACCGAAAGAAAGCGCCTTTTATTTCGAAATAAGGAAAGTGTTAGCCCCGCTTCTCCTCAGCCAGGTCTGCAATTCTGTGTTTGGGATTTATTGAAGAAGTATTGGACAAGTTTTCAACATGCCTGAAATACTTACCTATCCAATAATGTCTACCAGCTTTCGGACTAAAACGTTTCCGGAAATCGGATAAACACACATTTTTGGTGGTATATGTATTTGATATATTTTATTTAAGCAGGTCCTATGATGAGATCTCATAATATGTACGTCATGCAGCAGCAGCATATGTCTGCTCGAACAATGTATCCCAGGCAACAAAGTCCAATCGGAGGACCCGACTCAATGCCTCAACATGGCAGTGCAGAGTGGAGGCATTTAATAATGTCGCAACAACAAAATGCAAACTTTAATTCACAAATCAGGCCTAATTTTCATCAAGGTTAGTAGAACATGTCTGTGGTAAATTTTATTTCGTAATTTCTTGATGTCTTTTAGGTGGTGGTTATAGTATGAACACTGGAACTATGCAAATGACAGGTCTTCAACACCAACAAATGAGAACGCAGGGTATGCTGTCAGGAGGATTGGGTGGGCAAAGTATGGCACAAAATCAAGGTTTGGGCCAAAATCCAATGCAAATGAATAATATAAATCAGCAAATGTTGCATATGCAACAACAGCAAGCGCTTATGCAGCAACAATCATCTAACCAGGTGAGAATGCCAACATTCTTACTTCTCAAAAATTCAGACTGTTCTGCACAAACCAATCATTTAACAGTGGTATTGACAGTAACTCGCTGTCCAGTATAATTTTTCAAAAAATAGGCTTCATAACTCTTCCAGACTTAACAAGAATTGAAGTTGATGATGAACGCTGTTCAAAAATGTAAATGATGCACACAAGTTCTTTCGTTTCCAAAGGGGCGTAACAACCAAAATGGATGTGAAGTTTGACAAACTTCGCAAATTACAAATAAGTTGGCTTTTTCTACCAACAATATTTGAATTTCTTTTTTTCCTACAAAATTTTACAATAAAACCTTGGATCAGCTTGCAGTTGAGAGTTTTCATCTAATACTCTATAGTTGCCACAGAAACAATGATCACCTAATTTTAGTTCTTTCTGGATGTTGTAATTGCCTACCTTCCAGTGAGAGGCTAATTTTACTATCTTTATTTCTTGCTCTAAGCACTAAACTTCACTTCTCAGTAGGTAGAGAACGAGGTAGAGAATTATGTATATAGTTTTCTGTAACACACACCTCATTTTTTTTGTATTTTCATCCACATTCAAGATTAACTATTTGGTCACGCCCTAGAGATTTTGAGTGAGTATGCAAGTTTAATTTTATGTAACTGCTTTGAAATCCATAAACAACTTGATAGAGGTCTTCAATACTTCAATACTTTCTTTAAATGAAAAGGAGATTGTACCTCATTTTCACATCTGATGGTTCGTTTAATTTCAGACCTACTTACCATGGCACTTTGGAAGAGTGGTCTAAGGCTGGCAAAATATAAACCATATCTACATGATATAGTGAAACAACCTGTAATTAATGTGTTTCTGCAACCGAGCTTGCAGCATTAATTAACAATTCGTATTCATTAATGACACCTTTTTTTGTGTATATTGTAGATTATACTTCAACTATAATAAACAAATTTGTTTCAGATGTCATTAACAAACATGTCAATGCAACAGAGTCAATCATTATCAGTTTCAACTCAAAGTCTTCAACACCAACAACTCGGCAATCACCAACAATTAATGAACAATCCATCCAATAATAATCAATCTAGTTCTTTAAGCAATTTTAATCCTCAAGCTGCTGACTTCAACTTAGATTTCCTCGAAAATTTACCTACAACTGACTCTAGCGGTTTTACGGAGCAAGAGTTGCTTAATTCATTTGATAGTGATCCTGGATTTAATCTGCAGGATATATTGTGAAAACAATACATCTGTTAATCATTTTGTTTGTATATATGCATTTATTGTCTGTTGCGATTTTATTCAGTTATTTATGTTGCAAATTTATTGTGTGATGTAATTCGTTTTTTATTGTTTGTATGTAATATTAATTTGAATGTGGAGAAATTAGAATTGAAATTGATTCTAATATAAACGTAAATGTGAATAGTGAAATTCCAATTTTTCATATAAAATCACTGCCAGTGAAGAATACTAACATAGAGCTGTGAAATTACATGAAGTGAATAGTTTTATTTATTGTGCAAGTCTCGATATGTGTGTAACTATAATAATGTAATGACAACATCTCCAAACTGATGCCTTTAAAATTTGTGGCAGTAGTGAATGTACTCCATACCAAAATGTATATTGTGAATTATTGTCACTATAATTATATACATAAATACCAATTAAATGAACCGTGATAGTCCATTGTTTCTGTAATACAACTGTATAGGTAAAGTAGTGCAATGTACAAAGCTAATCAGCAATATATGGAATGTTTTAAGATTATTCTATTATACATTTTAAAATCGGTACCAAATATTCATATCGTCAACTTTGTAATTAGAAATGTTTATATATATGCAAAAATATGGCGACTTTAGTCTATATAAGTAAGTTTTGATATCAGACTGTTTTGTAACTGGTCCTGGTCAACAAGTGGGCATTAATTACTTTTTTGATTTATGTTGGTATATTTTGCAAGGTAATATTTCCCAAAACATTGTTACTTCATGACTATAAAGCATAAACTGTGTCAATAAGGAATTTACGAAAATTGAAGGACCTCAAAATAAAACAGGGTATTTCTTACCTATTTCTATTTCTAAATATTTCTGCCGTAGTCGTATTATTATGTTTGGGCAGATTGTAGTTAAAACTAAATTCGTGTGTCCATATCGCGATCAACATAATAATATCCAGCTGCATTAACATTTAAAATAGAATGAGAGAATATCATACCCATGAAACATGACAGAAATATTAAGGTATCTTAACATTTTTTAACCAGTAGAGTGCAGTTTTATGCATATAGAATAATTAAGTAACTGTATTTAACTACTAGCAAGATTATGTTATGGGATATTTAAATTTATATGTATTCTATAATACCTATATATAATTACTATTTAGAAATAGACAATTTGTAAAGTCGTATTGTAAACAAGGTCTTTATTTTAAAAAATCCGAGTATGGTATGAAGCAATATTAGGTTACACAAAAATACGATGATTCTAAATTAGGTACTAAGTACTTCAAATTCTAAAATTTTAAGGCCTAATAAATAATTTCCAAAATTTATGAGAAATGAAATGAAATGGATTGATTTGAATACGACTTTACAAACTTAGAAAAATTGTGTTGATGACTAAAGTAATTAATATTCGCCACAAAAAGTATAACTTAAATGGAAACACCAATACGTGTATTTATAAATATTTACAAAAAAAAACAATAGATTCATTATTATTAAAGTTTTTGAGTTATAGTTTTTATGGTAAATATTATCTACATATATCAATTTAATTGAGAAATGATCTCCAATAAATTAATAAGTGAAATTATATTTCATAATAAACAAAAAGTTTTGCCATTGAACTTCCATCTAAACATTCCAAAATTAAGGTTTTGCACAATTTTGTATTTATACATTCTGTTTATAGCAGTATTGACGGTTGTTGAGTCAGTATTTTATTTAATACTTTGATATATAGGCGGCATTTCAGTTTATATTTTTCTAACATTTTATTTATAATTGTACTTATGGACAAAGACCTTGTTGAATATTCTAATTTTTACAACCATGCAAGAGTTTATATGATGAAAATAAGATATATTATATACCATGTTTTGTAGATTCGATCATCTCATAAAGTGAGATTATATATATAAAATAAATACTATCTACAAATAAAATTTTTTTTCATCTATCGTATTAGTCCTCCAAATCTTGATACCACAATTACAAATTGATAATGAAGAGGTTTGTTGATTGTACGTGTTAGGATCAAACACAGATTTTGGTCAATAGTAAAAAAATATGGCTAAAGCATGTTCTGGCCACCAGTATATTAGCCCAGAACGTGTTCTGGATCCTTTACATTGCCAGAATTCGTGCTGGTAATTATTGTCATAAAATGTCATATTGTCGGAAAACGTAGAACACACAGCAAACACATTCAAAGGCCCATATAATATGACAAAATATTTATTATTATCTTTTATGTCTGTCATTCAAATTTGAGATCGATTCAATGGATTAAAAATTGCAGTAAATAGTAAATAGTTGACTTTAATTTTTTACCTACCAAGCTGATAAAATCCAGATTCTTTAAAACTGGGCACAACGGGTAACACATTTTTCCGGACAAGTCTACCTCTATCACAACAAAACAAAAATTCATTATTGGGCAGTTTTTTGTGTGCTCGACGCATTCTGGTAGTATGACAAATGCCAGTATAATACCCGTTCTAGTTTAAACAGCCGGAAAGCGGTTTTTCGAAGGTTGGCATGCTGGTGGCCAGAACGCGTTTACATCAAGAAATTTGTGAAAAAGTGAGGTCTTTGCAAAGTTACTCTCTTGGTGTGACTAGCACAGGAAGACCATAAAATTTAAGGCAGTAGGTATATTTGCATTTTTTTAGATTTTGTACAGTTCCAACTTCTTCAACAGCATAACACATCTTGCATTATTACAATTGCAAAATGTGACTTTGTGACTGCAGCTCTGTAAACAGCGCAAAAGTAGCGACATAATTATAAGAAGTATCTGTAACTGTTCCACAACACAGTTGTCTTATGAACCTACGCAGTGATAAACTTCGAATATCAAATGTATTTTTGCCCACCGCTCCTCGCAAACTGCGGCCATTGATTATACGTATAGTTATTTAGCTAGTTAATGTGTATAATCAATGTTGCGGTTATGTCAGATGGGCCTTAACATAGTTTGAGCCAAAGAAGCATTTTGCCTATGAATAAAGTGAATAAATAGTCTTAATTTTGAACGCTGTGTGATTAGCACTCGCTCACCCACTTGTCTGTCCATGTACCTAATGATGTGTGTGGACCAGGTGGGCAAATCAGAATAGCCGTCAGTCATACCTCAGAAACTGGTAGAAATTAATGTAATAATAAAAGTGGCCAAGAGAAATTACTGGAAATTATTTTCGAGTGTGTAAAATGACCACTAGGGGGCGCAACAGTCATGATCAAATATCAAATTATCATTTTCTGCAGATTTTATCTAATAAAATTGTATCAAAGATAGCCGAGTTTTAATGCTAATATAATTTTATTTATTTATTTATTTTCCCTCTCTTGTTCTGGGCCTCAACAGGCTTTCACCCAATTACAGAGTAACCCGCATAATACTATACCCATTCTTTTTTGTTTTACTTTTTTCCTATCTTGTGAAATAAAGTGGTGGGGAGAAATCAAACGTTTTTTAAATGAATATTGGTTCCTCAAGTTTAATTGGCTTACCTGATTTTAGAACTCGAGATATTGGGCCAAATAGATTAAGATAATATATGAATTCTTTGGTTTTACAGGCGATTCTTTTATAATATTGGACGATTTTAATGCTTATTATTTATTATATTTTTAAAAACTACATAAAACTATTTATTTAAATTACTAAAAAAAATTGAATGCTTGTTAAATTCGAACTATTTTTAAAACATTGGAACCTGAAATAAACGCAATTAAATTGAAAAATCAAGTGACCCTTGGAAACGAAAACAATTTAATTAAAGATTAATCAATTAATTACGACCCATCAATGCACTTCGCAATAAGTCTCTATCCAGTGGATAAAACGGCAGTTTCAATTTCGCCCTCGAAATATTTTGAAGAGCTGTTCTAATTATTTTCTCCATGTTTTCCCTGGTTAATAATAATAATAATAATTAATAATAATTAATAATATATTTATCATGTTAATGTGCGGAGCACTTACATTGGTCATTGTAAAAAAAGATATAGGTATAAGACATTACTAATACAAAAACATACATACTACCACAAACAGTTCGAGCAAACATATAGCACAATACATATTAAAAAGTGTGCACGAGTGAGTTCAGAGCTGAAAGTGTCCTTTACTGGTGCTCGTTGTAAATTCGTCGAGGGAGTAGAAAGCCTTTTTGAGTAAAAAAGACTTTACTACCTTTTTGAATCTTCGCATTGGGAGTTTCCTGACGGCTTCCGGGATGCAGTTGTACAGGTGCTGAGACTGCCAGACAGCACCGTTTTGGGTTGTTCGCAGACGACAGAAGTGGGCGAAGCGAGTTTCATACTGATGGTTATCGCTACTTAGAGAAAAATTGATTACATTTTTCTTAATGTAGCAAACCGCTTCGAGAATAAATAAACAAGGGAAAGTTAGAATATTTAACTCGACAAAAGAATCACGACAATCTTCTCTGAAACTTAGTCCATGAATTACTCGTATAGCCCTGCGTTGTAATTTGAAAATTTTTGGCCACGAGCAACAGTGGCCCCACACCGTAATTGTTGTAGGCCTGGTTGCAAAAACGATTCTTTGATTCTTCCCGACAGATTACATTTTTATAAATCAGTGTTGCTTTGGAATCTTTCAACAAACCGGAAGCGCATCGCATCTAAGTTATCGTTGTTTGTTGCCGAACGATTTTCATATCGCAATAAAAGGCATCTATGGGGTAATGTTTTTTTAGAGAATGTAATGCTGCATCTGCATCAGATACCATTTGTTTATCATTTTTCGGAACCAGACTACCTACATAATCGAAGAAAAAAAAACTGATTTGAGGAAGAATTGTTCTTAAACTTATATTCGGATTTTCCGCTACTGTAGCCAAAACCACAGATATTTAAATCTGTGCCAAAACATTGAATGTATTGTCGTTTTCCTGATGGTTTTGACGGACTTTTATAATTTATAAACAAGTATAAATTTAATATACGTCAAAGGCAAATAATGAAACGTGATCGCTGTTTTTTTATAGGTATAATTCCAAGGCATATCTGATTCATTGAGAAATGAACGTTCTTATTTTGTCGATTTCTACGGTTTTGAAGAACGGAAAATTATAATTAATAGTATGAACAGATGCAGTATTTTTTTCTCTTAAAAAAACGTATTTAGACTTTTGCTCTATAATAATTTGGGGAGCTAATAATTGAAGATAAAGAAATTACCATTGAAATCCCTAGGCTGCGTCACGCTATAGGCACCACCCGGTATACATAGGACATACCTTATCTATGTATCGAACGAAAAATTATGTCACCTCCTCCTTCGGACGCCAAATACTTTTCATGCGGTGGAGAAAGGGGTAGAGAGATGAAAAATGCAATTAGTACAGCTCTCCCTGTTGACTGTGTTTTTTTATTTGAAATTGTATAACAGTAGCATTTAGTCTATATTTATATTTATATTTAGTCATTTCTTACTGTCCAAGCAATGAGTTTGATGCATTTTTATGACATGTATTTTGGTGAAGACATATAAAAATCCTGACACCGATTTCCTTGGAAAAATTACCAAACGCATTCGTTCGATGCCCAAAAAGTGAATTTGAAGCATGTTTACTGATTGCATCAAAGAGGTGTCAAACTGCTATTTACGACTTGATTTCATTCGAAAGTGTGGGAACGATTTAGCTTTTGACTAACAGGTGGAATTCACGTCCATATTCTCTGCAGAGGCTATCGGAATTTTCAAGGCATGCGAACTCGCTGAACAACAAGGATTAAGTACCATTAACATTGTTTCTGATTCTCTATCTGTTCTTTCATGCCTCTTAAGCCCGATGGACGTTCTTAACATCAAGGATAATTTCTACTGTAAACAGCTAAAATTTAAAATAAAACGTTTGGAAAGATCGGGTTCTAAAATTAAGCTGACATGGATAAA